ATTTTATTCTGAGAAATAATATTAGAATATTGTAACTTAAGGTAAAATTTAAAGTGAAAAAATGTTAATAGAATACATTTGAGAAATACTTCCCTTATAATGCATTTTATAATAGCTTTATTGCAATGGTAAGAGAAATGAGGAAGTTATTACATATTTTTAAATATTGGAAATGTGCTCAGTAGCTTTAGTTTGTGTTATAAAAGAAAAGCAGAAATCCTGACCACTGGGCTTAACATTGAATGAAACCTTTTTTTTTTTTTAATATATTTTATTGATTTTTTACAGAGAGGAAGGGAGAGAGATAGAGAGTTAGAAACATAGGTACATGCCCTTGACCGGAATCGAACCCGGGACCTTTCAGTCCGCAGGCCGACGCTCTATCCACTGAGCCAAACCGGTTTCGGCTGAATGAAACCTTTAATAGAGTATAAAATTAGAGGTCTTGCATTGTGCCATAGACATTAGAGCTCAAGATTTAACTCAGTATGGCAGTGTTGTGTGTCTGCTTTTAATGTGGGAGATATCCTTTTATGAGACCACCAGATCCCATGAAAGGTGCATTGTCTGTCGCAACCTGTTGAAAATCAGAATTATCCTTTTAGTGCCAGCTGTTCCCATATCCATCCATCCATCCATCCTTCCCTTCCTTTCTCTCTGTCCCCTTTCCCCCCTTGCCCAGCTCAGGGTACTTACTGGTCCAAATATAGGAGAAGGATCCTTTTTTATGCACTTATAATGAATGACTTTTGTGTGCCCAAGAGCTTTAGGAATTATGGCTGCTAACTGTCATTAATTAGAGGACTTCTGTGGTTTCTGTGTGGGGAATGGTATGAGGAGAGCTGTTTCCATATTTTTTCTTTCTCTGAAGTTATCTTGTTATAGCCGTTTATACTGGCCAAACTAAAAAGATGGGTAGGTAGTTTCCTTGGAAATATAGAGCTCAGACCCACATTGAAGAAGTTTCAAAGACATACAAGTAGGAGAGGCAGCTGCGAAACCAACAGCTCTAAACAGGTACTGGAGTATAAATGTGGTTAGAGGCTCAAGGCGAGGGGCTCTGAAGACTGCTGCTCTCCGCTTCATTTTACAACAGTGTTTTCATTTCTCTTTGACCAATTAATTCATCTCACCGGAAGCTATTGCACAAAAATCATCAGAAACAATAGTAATAATTTATCGCCATGTTATTTAAGCACTGAAAAATTAGAAAGAGCCTAGATGTGTATCTTTATTTTTTTCCAAAGTTTCTACAGTGGGCCTGTCAGCATCATGAAAAAAATACTTGGCTATATTGCCTTTTAAATGAATATTAGTATTAAATTTATCTTATTACATTAATACTATAACAAAATAGTATTGTAATCACATGGGAAAGGATCCATCCAAAGTCTCAGTAATTTCAAGTAACCACTAAACTGGACTTTTTCATGTTGTTTGTTTGTTTGTTTTAATTTATCTTTGTTGTTGAAAGTATTACAGATGTCCCCTTTTTTTCTGCCATTAACCCCTCTCTGCTCCCCCCTCCCACCTCCCCCAAGGCCTTCACCACACTTTTGTGTGTGTCAATGGGTTATGCATATATACATATAAGTTATTTGATTAATCTCTTCCCCTTCCTTTGAGATCTGTCAGTTTGTTCCATTCCATGCTTCTATGTCTCTGGATCTGTTTTGTTCATCAGTTTATTTTGTGTATTAGATTCCACATACAAGTGAGATCATGTGATGCTTGTCTTTCTCTAACTGGCTTATTTCACTTAGCATAATACTTTCCAGGTCCCGCCATGCTGTCTCAAAGGTTGATACTTTTCTTCATTGTTTTCGATGAATATATATTGTAAAATGTTGATTATATTTCACCAATTTTTTTTTTTTTTTTTTTTTTTGCTAAATGTATTTTGGGATAGCTACTATATCCCTCACTTCTTTATTATTATTCTGAATTCTCAAATTTATATTTTATCTTTCTCTTAACATTTGTCCTTCACTATTTCTTTCTAAATCTTATTTCCATGCAAAGTAATTAATTTGTTTAAATGTCTCTTGCAGCGACGATTTAATTTATCTTCTTAGGTATCTTGAAAGTCGGCCTTTTGTTATTTTTGCCTCATAGAGGCTTTTTCC